CGGTTACGCCAGACGCAATCTCTTTGGTCAAATGAACTGACCGGACCCTGAGCCAGCGTCCGGTCAAACCAGAGCCAGCATCCGGTCAGTATTTGACCCTCCATTCACTTCCAACTCTCGATCATACATGAATGAAGTTTGCTCCATTGGATCTAAGGGCTATTTTGGAGCTACTTAGTGCTCGATTTAGCAAGTGTGCACTACACCTAACTCAGTAGACTCACCTAGGTCAAGCTATCCGTCCATACCCCCCTTAATAGTATGGCCAAAGGAAAAACAAAGTCCTAAACTACTCTAAGTGTCTCTCTAACTCCAATCGACACTTAAAACTAGTCATCCTTAACCTTGTCGTCCATCCTTTGAAAACTGAAATGATTTCCATCGTAGGGGCATGACAACCATGATTGCCCAATCGATCTTCATTACCATGACCTAACTTAATTGCCTCTGCAAAATACACGTTAGTCATAGTAATGTTGTATTGTCATTAATCACCAAAACCCAACTAGGGGCATAGATGCTTTCACATCCTTTGACTTGCCTGTGTCCATCAAGGTAGCAATGAGACTCTCAAAGACATTCTTCTGCACGTGCATGGCATCAATGGCATGGGGGACCTCCAAGTCTGGCCAATAAGGTAGATACTGAAAAAAGATCGATTGTTTCTTGAAAGGTACTCCTTCGACAGGAGGTGTGCTTCTATCTCTGTTCGTTCCATCCGGATTCTTCTTTCTATAGACGACGCGTATGTTTTTCACCATTATGTACACGTGTTCTCCGTTATGACGTCTCTCCGGAGGGGGTTCAATCTCCGGGGCATTGTCATAAAATCTAAAGAACAATTTGCTGTGGTACTTGTGACTTGTCTTTAAGAAGCGTCGGTTCCTTAGGTAAACTATCTTCTTAGATGCATCCAGGTACACCCATGTAGTACCATCCAAGCAAACCAAGCATCCCGTCTTTTCTTTGATCTGTCCAGACAAAGCAAACAGCGCGGGGTAATTATTGGTAGTAACAAATATTATTGCTCTACATATGAAGTCCTCCTTTCGAAACGCATCGTACATTTGCTCCCCATGCCTCCATAGCCACTCCATTTCTTGCATCAAAGGCTCGAGGAACACGTCTATATCAATGTCTTGTTGTTTAGGGTCAGAAATAAGAATAGTGAGGAAAATGTACTTTATCTTCTGACACAACCAAGTTGGGATGTTGTACATGGTCAAGATCACTGGCCATGTGCTGTGGTCGCTCATCCTCTCATTGAAGGGATTCATTCCATCGGTGCTCAAGTCAAACCGTACATTCCTTGGGTCATCGCTGAATTCTTTGTGCTTCTCATCAAATCTTTGCCACTGACTACAATCAGCCAGGTGTGCAATCTTATCATCATCCACCTTGCGCTCATCATCCCACCATGTCATGAGTGCGGCTTCTTTAGGGTTTAGGAAGATACGTCTCAAGCAGTCGGTCACTGGCAGGTACCACATTACCAAGGCAGGAATTCTTCTCTGCTTTGCATCGTTGCCTAATGGAGTGTCCTCTAGGGGCTGAGATTCTTGTACCACCTTTTTGTACCCTTCTTATTCCTCTTTTTCCCCGTAGAGGCTTCGTCCCCACCGTAAAGGTCATTGTTCTTGTATCGGCTGGCCCCACACCGGGGACATTTATCTAGTGACTTGAATGTTTCGCCACGAAAAAGTATACAGTGGTTGGGGCATGCATGGATTTTTTCAACCCCCATTGTCAATGAACTTATGACCTTCTTCGCTTGGTATGTGTTGGCGGGAACTGAGTTTGGTTGTGGCAGCACCCATGACAGGAGATGCAATAGATCATTGAAATTACAGTCTGACCAGCCATACTTAGCCTTCAGGATGAGCAGCTCAAGCATAAAACATAGCAATGTCCAATGTGTTGGACAACCCTTTTCAACATCATACACAGTCTCCTTCGATGCTTTTATCACCCTTTCCAATTTTTTTAGATCTTTCGGGCTATTTAGTAAAATCTCTGGTCCAAGGGCTCGAATCATGTCCTCCAAATCATCTTCATCCTCGACACGTGCTCCACCATCATTATTGGCACCACCTTCGTCGTTACCATCCCAACCACCAGCATCACCACCTTGTTCATTGCCAAACTCGAAATCCATTCGTGCATCAAGCTCTGCTGAATATTGGGACAGGGATTCTATGGTTTCATCGTCGTATTCGTCCTCATCCTCGTTGTTAACAATAACCGTTTCACTATGATGAATCCACACTGTGTAGTCCTCAACAAATCCTCGCATAATCAAATGTGATCTGATGATAGTCACATCTGTCCATGATATATGGTTCTTGCAATCTTTACATAGGCAAATAATTATATCCTTATTCTCTTTTAATGTCGTTGCATGCTTCTTTACGGCTTCAATAAATTTATCCACCTTTTCACGAAAACCTACCTTGAACCTTAACGAACCATACATCCAAGAGTTCATGTACTCTATCTTTTACAACAACAACAAAACAAACTTTAAAGGACTACTTATTCAGATATATAAAAATAAAACAAATTAATAATTACTTGAGAATAATTGTATATACTTCAGATATATATGAATATAAATCTAATATAATTACATGAAGCATACAAACACACCATGGTAGAGGAAAATTAATTAATGGTCCATTTATCCATAAATAATTAAAAAATATATTTATTGATTACAATAAACAATTTCAAAGACAACAATTAGTAACAATTATACTTTACCCAATATCTTTCATACAAACCCTAGTCTAATTTCATCAAACATAAATTTACAAAAACGAAATTAATAAAAAAACCAAACCCTAGATCTAGATCCACATGCACATGAAACATCCATAAAACTAACAAATTGTTCACTAAAATCAAGAAACATAGACCAAATAAGGGTATGATCTTGTTCCCCTCCCTAATTTACCCTAGTACATTTAAAACTTGGGTCTAATTTGCTTCATAAGTAGCTTAAGCACCATAGAAGAGAGAGAAAAATAAAACTCTAATTACTCACTAACCAACCATTAAAACTTCAAAAAAATGTGGAATAGCATTTTCTTACCTTCTACAACCTCTCCACCAAAGGGCTTGAGACCAAAACCTTCCCTTCTTAGTAGTGCAATTTTTGGAGGTGCCCAAGGCCTCCCCATCTTTCTTTCATGGGTTGGAGCGAGTGACCCGAGGAGAAAGAAGGTGATGCAACTGTTTTATATGTGGTTCATTTGTAGGGGTGGCTGGGGATTGAGCCGCCCCTATAAATCGGCGCTATATATATAACAACTCTAGGGGCAGCTGGTGATTGAGCCGCCCCTACAAATCAAACCTCATTTGTAGGGGCGACTCGTATCACCAGCCGTCCCTGCTGTTCTATTTATAGGGACGGTTGGTGTCTGGGCACCCGAGCACGTCACTGTAGGAGCGGCTCCATCACCAGCCGTCCCTAAAAAAAATCAAACCGTTATTATAAACCATTTTTCACGTAGTGCCGCGCTGATGAGTGGCGACTGACGATGGCACGATGCATTCGGCCGGCTGTTGGAGGGTGGAGACTTTGGAGTGGTGGAGACTGGCCTGGGCTTCTGGCCTCTTGTGGACACAGCTCAAAAAGGCGTGTGGAAATAGGCATCATCGTTGTCGTCCACTGTAGAGCAGAGCATGCTCTCTGATCTCTGTCCGCATACTCATACCTAGGGATGAAAACGGATCGGATACATACAGATATTTCTGATATTACATTTGTTTTTATATTTCTGTCTGGATTCGGATTCGAATACGGATAGTGTCAACTATAACGGATAGAGTACGATTGGATATCGACATCATAAATATGCGATTTAAGTATTCAGATACGGATACGGTATCGGATGTTGAATATTTAGACTCGTATACGGACAGATCTGAACCCTTCTAAACGGATCCGATCTCGAATATGGTCGAAAAATATCCGTAGCATTCTCATCTATACCCATACCACAAATATTCAGGCGACCGGTGTAACTGTATCTGACTTGCTAAAGCTTCTCTGATTCACCATAGACGGGCAACGGTAAAAGTTCCAAAACCAAATGATCCGGCTCCAAATGACTTAGTGTCGTAGTGAGCTGGGAAATCAGCCAGGTAAGAGAAATAAAATTTTGACTATACTCCACTAGGCAAGTGTCGTAGTGAGCAGGGAAATTGCAGTGCTGTCACACATCATTTGACAGATGCCGAAGACTTCCACGGCGCCGTCGCCCACGAGGAGAGGAGCCTCGGTGACTACTGGGTACTGGCTGGCCCGGCGTCTCGTCGCATGTGATGTGAAGCTGAGGCCGTCTTTGGTGCAGCTCCGGCTCCCTATGCTACGACACTGTTCATGTTCTATGCGGACACTGTTTATCAGAGTCGGTTTTCTCTATCTTCGTTTTCTCTCTCACAGAGCCGTTCTGAGAGGGAAAAGCTCGTTTTTTTTCTCCTCCGGCTTCGGCTACCGTTCGCTACAGTGTAAGAGCCGGAGCACGCGGAAGCCCGGCCAAACGAGGCCTGAATCTCTCGTGGAAACAGCCATGGCATGTGTCCATGGTAGGGGTAGGGGATAGTTATGTTGCCGCACGTCTCCGACCGGGCAGCCGGGCAACGCCGCTGGATGGGGTGCCGCCACTGCTGTTGCCACCATGAATAACAGGTGGAGGCCAAGGCTCTGTTCGCTGATCTATAAGCTGCTTGTGTTGATTTGTACGATTGATCTGTTGAGAGAGAAAAAATACTATATTATAACAGATAAACCAGCTTATAAGGTGATTTATAATGGCAGTGAGGGCTGAGGGGAAGCAGTTAACACGGACTACGTGAAAGTCGTTGGCTAGATTTGAAATTGCGAATTGCATGCCGGATCACATTTTGGACCAATAAATATCCTACCACCATCTCAATTTTCAATTAGTCCATTCTAGAAACGGAACGCAAGTCGGTAGTAAAGCGAGAGCCGAGAGATGACGGTCGCCGTATCGTCTCGCCGGCCGACGACGACGATCGGCGCGATCGGAGCCCTCACGCTTCAGCTCGTGGCGACAGCGCTGGCGGGCCCGATAGCCCTGCCTGGTTGCCCGGAGAGCTGCGGCGGCGTACAAGTGCCGTACCCGTTCGGGATCGGCCGGGGCTGCTTCCACCAAGGCTTCAACCTCACCTGCGACGAGGCGCAGCACCCGGCGAAGCTGCTGCTAGGGGAAGGGGACGGCGCAGATCAGGTGCTCGGCATCTCCTTGCCGGACTGCACGGTGCGCATCCAGAGGAAAATCTCGTGGTCACAGTACGCCGCCGAGTTCAACGGCTCATGGTCCGTTCCGACGCCGGACGACGGGCCCTTGATGGTGTCGAGCGCGCGCAACTCCTTCGTGGCGTTCGGGTGCAGCGTGCTGGCGAGGCTCATCCCCTACGACACCCTTGGCCCGCTTACCTACTCCAGCGTCTGCGCCGCCGGCTGCATCCACACACCCGATGCCTCCTCGTGCTCCGGCATGGGCTGCTGCCGCACGTCCATCGCGTCTCTCGGCGCCGACCTCCCGTCGTACGGCATCCAGGTTAAGCATCTGGAAGGGGGAACCGGCCGCTACTACCATAGAGCAGCTTTCATAGTTGATCAGGAGTGGTTCAGCAGAGTCGAGGCCGAGATGGCGAGAAACTTCAGCAACCTGTTTTTTCCAATCGGTGCTTTTCCGGTGATGGTGGATAGTGTTCCGGTGGTGCTGGAGTGGTCGTTGGATCTAATACGCGACGCAGACTTGTTCGTGTTGTCGCCTATAGGTCCCCGATCTTCTGACTTCAGAGGCCTAAGCTCAAACAGTTTTTCCTATACTATCGGTGGAAATTACGACCGAAGACGGTGCAACTGTTCTCACGGATACGAGGGCAATCCCTATATTGGTGATGGATGCCAAGGTACCACTTCTGTCTTATATACTACTACTACTACTAGTCATCAATCTCTTTCTTTCATCCTTTGCAAGTCTAAGTTATACGAATGACTGAGCTGCTTATCTACCTTTTCAAGAAGCAAAATTCATATGATGTGCTTCATCTTTATGTTCCTTTTCTTTTTTTCCCTTCTTCAGATATTGACGAGTGCCAGCTGCCAGATATTTACCCATGTCATGGAACCTGCATCAATGTGCCTGGGACATACCGATGCTCATCAAAGAAAAGCATCAGGAGCCTTCCTGGTACAAAATACAACTCGCTTGAAAATTGAAATAAAGGTTCCCCTTCAATTTGTTGATAGTAACCTGTCATGTACGTCATTCCATATGACATGGGTAGTTCATCTCTAAATACCACTACTATATTTTTCACATTCCAAATTAGTTTTCTCTGATGTTATTGTGAAGTTTAAACATGTGATACAACCCAAGTTAAGTGCAAAAAGAGAAGCCTACATTTTTTTACAAGAATGTAATATGCTTTAGAAGTAAATCATGTGACCACGAACAAATATAAATCTAAGATGACAGCTCTAAGAAACATTTTTTTTGTACACATTTAAGTGACTTGAAAATTTTGAAATGGATATCACATACTGCATCTAGCTTAGTGTAATCCTTGATTCCTTGAGTTTATTTAATTTTCCGCAGGCTTAATTGCTATAATAGCAACAAGTGCTGGTTTTGGCCTACTATTTTCAATTCTGGGTGTTGCAAACGTCATCAATAAACTCAAGCAAAGAAGGGCAAAACTTCTAAGGCAGAAGTTTTTCAAGAGAAACCATGGATTGCTTCTACAGCAGTTAATCTCTTCAAATAAAGACATAGCTGAAAGGATGAAGATTTTTAGCTTTGAAGAACTAGAGCAAGCAACCAACAAGTTTGACCAGAATCGCATCCTTGGTGGTGGAGGTCATGGCATAGTCTACAAAGGCATCTTATCTGATCAACGTGTCGTTGCCATCAAGAAGTCTAAAATTGTGGTTCAAAGGGAAATTGATCAGTTCATAAATGAGGTTGTTATACTTTCGCAGACTAACCATAGAAATGTGGTGAAGCTCTTTGGTTGTTGTCTTGAGACTGAAGTTCCTTTACTAGTTTATGAGTTCATATCAAATGGAACCCTATCGTACCATCTTCATGGACAATATGAAAACCCTCTAGTTTGGAATGATAGACTAAGGATTGCACTGGAAACTGCAAGAGCAATTGCTTATCTACATTGTGCAGCTTCCATATCAGTGTTCCATAGAGATATCAAATCTGCAAACATACTGCTTACCGATACTTTAACAGCAAAAGTGTCAGATTTTGGAGCTTCAAGGTCAATTTCAATAGATGAAACAGGAATACAGACTGCCATCCAAGGAACTCATGGTTACCTGGATCCTGAATATTATTACACTAGTCGACTCACCGAGAAGAGTGATGTCTACAGCTTTGGTGTAATTTTAGCAGAGCTACTAACAAGGGTTAAACCGGTATTCTCTACACATTCATCAGAAGGCAAAAGCCTAGCATCACACTTCGTGTCTATGATAAAAGACTGTTGCTTGCTAGATATTCTAGATCCACAAATTGTTGAAGAGGGAGGGTCCGAAGATGCTGAGGTTATTGCAAGGCTTGCAGAAACATGCTTAAGCTTAAAAGGTGAAGAAAGGCCTACAATGAGACAAGTGGAGATAATTCTCGAAAATATACTAGGATCAAAGGTCCACTCCAGTTCTCGAGTTTCGAGGACAATTCAAATTGTTCTTAAAGATCAGTCAAGCAACCAAAGCAAAGGCAATGAAGGAACTAGGCTATACAGCTTGGAGAAAGAGTTCATACAATCATCTGAAATTCCAAGATGATTTTCGCTTTTGTGGGTTCACATCTTATTGAGTACTTAAGTGCCATTTTGCATATTGGGTGTCAATTAGAATTTAGAGATGTAGCCTTGTGCACCTCCACAATATTATGGTAGATGTAGAACTAATAAGTTATACCAGTAAATAACTGAACTTGGTTATAGTCTGCTTAGCTGGTGTATGGTATTCCTTTTGTTATGTATCCAATATCCTGTTTGTAGATGTGCAAATGTTTGAGATCATGTGATGAAAAAATGGTTGATGTTAAATTTGTAATTGAAATTTGACTAATATAATGACATAATATAATTCGCTAATAAAATATTTTTAGTTGAGCGTATGATTTCTTTCATAGCAATGTAGTCATAGTACAGTTTTATCCATGTGTGAGTGGTGTGGTGTGGACTAATTTGAGTCAAGTCATGGACTTGTACTCGTATGCGGTTTAGTATTTCTTCATGTGCAGGTGTTGCTTTAGGAGGAACGTTGTCGATGACGGACTGGAACTAGGTTCAGGTAGAACCGAGGTTTCAAGACTAAGTTTAGGGAGAAAATGAGGTCCTACGTAGGGGTGAAAGTGGTGTGGACAATTTTCCGATCCGATCCGATCTGAATCCGAATTTTGTGGATATGGAGAAGAACTTTTAATATCCATGCGGATACGGATAATCCGAATCCGATTTTATGCGGATGCGGGGTAGGATATGGAATATGTAAAATCCGGCGGATATGGATTATCCACAATTTCTATGCGGATTATCCAATGTTTAAAATAGGATATCCGAAAGTTTCTCTCCCTAGTCTAAAGAATTTGGGTTTCGAAAAACTTTGTTAGTTGAGAACTCTTATTTTGTGATGTGGTTGTTTGATATTTTAAGGTTTGAATTAAGAATTTGCTAGGTATTATTATTTATTGGCTAATAACGTATCATTTTTAGTGAAAATATCATGTTAAGCGTAAATAATCATTGTGATAGCGGCTATATGGAATGCAATGCAAGCTTATTATCCATTGCTTGTTTTTGGTTCTTTACTAAATCAATTCTTGACAAGCTTATAATTCTCTATGTATGCGCATATTACTCGACTGTTCCGCTCCATATCCTGACCACATCCGACTTCCAAAAAAATCCACATCCGCATCCACGTCTGTGTATTATCCACTCCGCACCGAATCCGACAAAGAAAAGCGGATTAGGATATGGGAAATGCATTATCCGCACCGATCCGATCTGTTTTCACCTACTGGTAAGGCATGTCACGGGACGTTCGAGGAATACTGCAATGAGACTTACCGATGTGTGAGTCTATTTGTGACTCGGTGTCGGTGGATATTGTTAGACTGACTACGACTGCCAGTAGTTAGATGAACAAGTGCTGCATCGATGAGGTGATTAGCATGGTGCCAATGCATGAATACGGAGAAAGGGGAGGAGCATCTTTGAAGTACGGTGCTTGCCATCCTTTTGTTTTTTCGCTAAGCACATGGCTTAGGCGGACAAGAGGCCTGCTGCTGATATAAGGATAGCAGATAGATCAGGCGAGGTGTGTGACCAAGGTCTGAGGCATGCATGAGTAGAAGCGAGATAGACAGTTCAGCAGAGATAGATAAATCAGAGAGGCGAGAGTAATATTTCGAGGACAAGTGTTCCTTCCGAGAATGAGAACTTGTAAGAGGAAATATATTTTACTTTGAGAAATCTCGGGAGAACTTTTATATTCTAGTATGAGACATATGTTCAAGTAATAAAGATCAATGTTTGGAAACTGATCCGTTGTTATTAGGTTTGGTAGAATAACAGTTTGTCATTTTTGCCCTGGTTTAATATTTATAGCAACTATGTGTGCTGAGTAAAATTGATAGTCTGTGCGTTATATGTTTTAGAGCTCTTCTTTGCTTGTGCTATAAACACAAATCTGTTAAAAGTACAAGTTTCTGTTTTAGCACAGCAGCAGTTTTTCAGTTTGATTCTATCTCAATAAAGGACTATGAAGTTGCTTATAATTTCTGTTAATTAATTTTCGTCACTACCTGACACAGCGTTAACTTCTTGTTATTTTTATATCTCAAGCTCCAGACCTCTGTTTGACGTGATTCCAGTTGGGTTAGTTCATGAATTTCATCTAATTTAATCTGCAAAAAATTGAAGTCAATTAGAGCTATGATTTTTTGTCAAGATTATTTTAGTGGAAGCGTTGTGTTCTGTTCGGAACGATAAACAAGGTTTGAATATTACGTGGATGATGACATGTGTGTGAGATAAAAAAGAACACGAAACACTGTATATAACTCCCTAACACATTGAGGGTTGATCACATAACCCCCCCTAATTATAAGACTCAGTATTGTGTCCCTTAAAATATCTATCTTTCAAATGAACCCCAAGACAGTTTTCTAGGGCTATTTCGCCATGGTACCTTGACAAACTAGCATGATAACAAATGTTTGCATGTAGACCTATTTTGTAAGTAGGTACTCCCTCTGTTCCAAATTATAAGTCACTTTGGTTTTTTTAGTTCATCTATTTTGCTATGTATCTAGACATGTTATTATATCTAGATATATAGTAAAATGGATGTACGAAAAAAGTCAAAACGACTTATAATTTGGAAACGGAGGGAGTACATTATTTTTATCTTTACCATGCGTCCTGATTTCTCCCCACTGCCTCCCTTCCTCTTCTCTCTCCATCCTACCCCACCTCTCACGAGTAGCTCGTGACCCTCCACTGCCTACTTTTGGCGTGTTCGGCTGCTCTAATAAGCCGTCTTATGAGCTGGCTTATCAGCCATGGTATAGTGTTTTTCTCTCCAAACAAATTAGTCGTACAAATCAGCACAAACGGTTTATAGACCAGCCAAACAGTACCTCCCGATGCTCCTTGACGGCATGGAGCTTATGCACCATGTCTGCGCGAACACCATCCCCCTCCCTATTGTTTTCTCCTATCATGGCTACGTCACAAATGAGTCCCTTCGGGCCTTCCCGCATGCCTCCTGGTCCACACCCACCTTAGCAAGCCATTAGGTTCGCCCATCTTATATACGGGCTTGTATTCCAACATGGGTAATTTGTTAGGCCAGTATGATAAGGCACGGTGGAAATACAACCTTGCAAAATCATCATGAAATGTTATAGTCGACGGGTAATCCTTACCTTAGTGATGAATGCCAAGGTATATGCCACTTTTATACTCGTCTATCTCTCTTTTGTTCGTCGTAAGAGTGACCTTGTTCTTAGCAACAAATAATTAAGTCATGCTACTCAACGTGTTTTAATGTTTTAGCTTATAATATTCATGTGAAGGAAAAAGTCCAAAATACTATCCTCAAGTATGCCCTATGTCCAAATAACACCTTAAACAAATGTTTGGTTCTTTTTAACCCTCAATTATTTCAGTTGGTCCAATTTACCCCTCAACAAGATTTGTCTTTTTTTTGCTTCTCCACATTTAAGTTGGTTTTTAGTTTCAAACTTTATGAGGGGATATCTAGAACCATAATTTATGTTTAAAAATATTTCAAACATTTTATCATTATTTGATAGGTTATGACATATAATAATAAATTAACACTAGAAATACAAAATTGTATTAAACATAATGATATAAAATTCATATTATATTTTAAAAAATAATTTATGGTATCCACTATCGCCTCACAAATTTAGAAATTAAATTCAGCTTGTACATAGAGAAATAAAAAAAGGAAAATATTGTTAAGGGGTAAATTGGACGGACTAAAATAGCTAAAGGGTGTAAACTGAACCAAACATTAGTCTAGGGGCTTATCTAGACATAAGCAATACTTGGAGGTAGTAATTTGGACTTTTCCTATTCATAAATGCCAAGATGTGAAACTGCATTTTTTGAAATACCTTTCTTTTGATCCTAGCAACCATTATCCTTTTTATATATTTTTTCAGATATCGACGAGTGCCAACAACCAGATCTTTACCCATGCCATGGAATCTGCATCAATTTGCCAGGGACATACCGATGTTCGTCAAAGAAAAGGATCACTAGCCTTCCAGGTACAAAATACGACTTCCTCTTGCTTAAAACAGGTTTTCCCTGTGGCCACGAGGATAATCTATCATGTAGTGCATTTCTTCAGTTTCAAGAAAAAACTATTCCTTCATGCTATTGCAAAGTATGGGCATCTAGATCAAATTAAGGGGTAAAAGGAAAAGAAATAAAAGATGTTGACAATAATGTAGTTGTCGGGGACCAGTACTAGAGTACCCGAAGAGGAGGGGCTAATAGTCTTTAAACATTAATTCGTCCAGACAATCAAGGGCGCGACTACAGATCCAACCGACCCCTAGGTCCGCAGGCTCCGCCTCGCCCGACCTCTGGGGGCGGGCTCCGCCTCGACCGATACCGAGACCGCGGGCTCCGTCTCACCCGACCTCGAAGGGCTGGCTCCGCCTCGCCCGACGTCCGAGGGCGGCCTCCGCCTCGCCCGACGTCCGAGGGTGGGCTCCGCCTCGCCCGACGTCCGAGGGCGGCCTCCGCCTCGTCTGACGGAGACCCATACCGCCGTCAACCACTTTAGGTCCCAGCAAATGGGTTTGGGTCAAAGCTCTGACACCAGAGAGGTGACCGGCACGCCCCGACACAACCCGTGTCCGTGACATGCCATACCAGGGGATTCACATCAGGAACAGCGTTGGACGTACCGGTGTTGTTCTTCCTAACCCTCGTATGAACACTGACGGGCACGTCAGTTCGCCACGACGTCCGCCAGGACGGAGTGGAGCGCCATGACCGGCGGACGACGTCTGCGCATGGCGCCAGTGACGGACAGGGCCGCGACGTGAAGCTGTCCCTATTGACGTCTAAAGGGTCAGCGGGACCCGCATGCAGGAGAAAAAGGACCTGACAATCCTGAAGGACTTCCTCTCCCTCTCGTTCTCCTCTCTCCCTCCGCTGTAACCCTGTTTTCCCTTGGCCTATAAAAGGGAAAGCAGGGCGTCCCATAAGGGACATCGAAACTACGGG